AGAACCCCGGTTTATCTGAGTCAAACCATGACATCACAGCGCAGCACAATCCCTCCACGCTGACCCCAGCTGTGTGCAGACAGGTGACGGTGTCAATGACGCCCCGGCGCTGAAGAAGGCAGAGATTGGCATCGCCATGGGGTCGGGCACGGCCGTGGCCAAGTCAGCTGCTGAGATGGTGCTCTCTGATGACAACTTCTCCACCATTGTGTCGGCCGTGGAGGAGGGCAGAGCCATCTACAGCAACATGAAGCAGTTCATCCGCTATCTCATCTCCTCCAACGTCGGGGAGGTGGTTTGGTGAGAGCCTCCCACAGTGGGCACCCTGCTGCAGGCGGGGGACACATCCCCTGGGGCAGGGCACCTGCAGGCAGCAGCATGTAGTGCCCAGATTTTTTTTGTAATTGTAATCCCAGCACCATGTCTCATTCCCCAAGGGCAGGGAGTTTTTTTTGTAGTTTTACAATCCTGCCATCCTTCAGGACCAGTCTGTCAAAGTATTGCCTATTTAAGCTCATGCAAGTGCCTGATCCGGGTGCAGATATTTGTACACAGGCTGCTGTCACCCAGTCACAGCTATCCCTGCCCCTGCCCATCCCTCCCAGGCCTCAGCAACATCAGCACAACCTTGGGATCATCCTTTGCCCTTGCATTTCAGCATGGGTGTTTGTGCTGGGAATGGGAACCTGTCACAGACATCTTTTATGAAAAATCCTTTCTTTACAATTTTTCCTCCTGAGAAGCTGAGAGACCTCAGGAACAAAATGTAATCATTGATTATCTGCTGCTGTGGAATGCAACAGGTGCATCCATCTGTGATTGGCCCGTGTTGGATGTTTGTAATTAATGGCCAATCACAGTCAGCTGGCTCAGACAGAGAGTCCCAGCCACAAACCTTTGTTATCATTCTTTGCTATTCNGAGGGAGGTGTGATTGTGGTCACTCACAGAGAGAGATAAGGCAAACTGCCCACTTGACAAAAGATAATCTGCCATACAGATGGTAATAGAAAACATCTTATATTGCAATCTTCAACACTGCCACAGAATTCCATAGGTAGGAATTTATGGTATAAATAGGTAGGAATTTATGATAGAATTTGTTTTATTTTTAGGGTTGTGCTTTGTTTTAGGGGGGTTGGCAGTTGCATCTAACCCCTCCCCTTATTACGGGGTGCTGGGGCTGGTTGTAGCGGTGGTTGCAGGGTGTGGTTGGCTGGTAAGTTTGGGGGATTCCTTTGTGTCTTTGGTGCTTGTTATGCTTTATTTAGGGGGGATGTTGGTAGTGTTTGCTTATTCAGTGGATCCTTACCCAGAAGAGTGGGCCAACTGGGATGTTGTTGGTTATGGCCTTGGGATAGGGTTGGTTGTGGTGGTGGGGCTTGCTATAGGGGGTGTGTTGGAATTCCATAAATTCCTACCTATTTATACCATAAATTACAGAAACCTCTTGGAAGTTTCTTCACCCAGTGAAGCCCAGGGTGGTTTCCCAGCAGGGATGGAAGTGGATGCATCCCAAGGGGTTAACGTGGGTGTGGGGTGTGTTCCTCCCTCCCAGAACAACCTGACCTTTGTGGGCTGCGTGGGGATGCTGGACCCTCCGCGCAAAGAGGTCACCTCGTCCATCGAGATGTGCCGCAAGGCCGGCATCCGCGTCATCATGATCACCGGTGACAACAAGGGCACGGCAGTGGCCATCTGCCGCCGGATCGGGATCTTCTCTGAGAGCGAGGACGTGTCTGGCAGGGCCTACACGGGCCGAGAGTT